CAGCAATCAGGAGCTCCTCAGTTGCTCATAGAAAATCCCACCTTGGAGTTTACAAAGACTTATGGGTAGAAAAGCCACACTAAGTAATTTACTACACCACACTCGGGAACATATTTCACTTGGGCACAATTACCAGAAAGCCACATATTTTAGAAAAATAATGCCAGTAATGTTAGCATTTCTGCTAGATGCTTTAACTTAAAATATGTGAGACAAATCAGGGCATAAACCATGCATAGTCACTGTGTTTGTAATGGTGAAATGGGAACAAATTTATTTCTAACAACGTGTTGCCTCTTTTTGACAGAAGTCACACAGTAGAGGATCTCTGTGAAAGTAATGAAAGCATTCCTCGTGGGAAAACTTTAATCAAGATTCCAAATCTTACTGTGCTAAAGAGAACTCCTCCAGCAGTAAATTCTTTTGAATGGTGTGAGTGTGGAAAAGGCTTAATGCATCACTCACCACATAAGCATCATAGCGGATCTCACACTGGATGCAGTACCTGTCAGAGTAAGGAATATGGAGATGCCTGCAGCTGTCCTGCTCACCTAACCACTCCTCTGAGAACTCTTACTGGAAAGAAACCTCATAAATGTAAGGTCTCTGTGAAGGACTTCATTTGTATTTCAATGCTGAAGAAGTCTGGCACAACACTCTCTGGTGAGAAACACTATGAATGTGACGAATGTGGGAAAGATTTCTGTAATTTCTCATCCTTTTGGGAACATGTTGTAAGTTATAAGCATAAATATAAAGAGTGTTGTGAAGCCTGTAGTTATACTTTGTCCCACATTTTGGATAAAAACTTTGCTAACAGAGCTATGCCTTATAAATGTAAGGAATGTGGGAAAGCATTTAGTCATTCTTTAGTCCTCACTAGGCATATAAAAACTCACAGTGGAGAGAGGCCTTATGAATGTAAGGAATGTGGGAAAGCCTTTAGCCGTTCCTCACACCTCATTGAACATATAAAAACACACAGTGGAGAGAGACCTTATGAATGTAAGGAATGTGGGAAAGCCTTTAGTCAGATTTCACACCTCACGACACATACAAGAATTCACAGTGGAGAGAGACCTTATGAATGTAAGGAGTGTGGGAAAGCATTTAGTGAGGCCTCATCACTCACAAAACATATAAGAACTCACAGTGGAGAGAAGCCTTATGAATGTAAGGAATGTGGGAAAGCCTTTAGGTGTTCCTCACACCTCACTAAACATTTAAGATCTCATAGTGGAGAGAGGCCTTATGAATGTAAAGAATGTGGGAAAGCCTTTATATGTTCTTCACACCTCATTGAACATATAAGAACTCATAGTGGAGAGAAGGCTTATGAATGTAAGGAATGTGGGAAAGCTTTTAGTTGCTCCTCACACCTCACTTCACATATAAAAACTCACAGTGGAGAGAAGCCTTATGAATGTAAAGAATGTGGAAAAGCCTTTAGTCAGGCCTCATCCCTCACTACACATGTTAGAACTCACAGTGGAGAGAGGCCCTATGAATGCAAGGAATGTGGGAAAGCCTTTAGTCAGTCATCAAACCTCACTATACACATAAGAACTCACAGTGGAGTTAGGCCTTATGAATGCAAGGAATGTGGGAAGGCCTTTAGGTGTTCCTCACACCTTACTGAACATATAAGAACTCATAGTGGAGAGAGGCCTTATGAATGTAAGGACTGTGGGAAAGCCTTTAGTCAAGCCTCAGCCTTCAATATACATATAAGATCTCACAGTGAAGAGAGACCTTATCAATGTAAGGAATGTGGGAAAGCCTTTATTCAGACCTCATTTCTCACTCAACATGTAAGAATTCACAGTGGCGAGAAGCCTTATAAATGTAAGGAATGTGGGAAAACCTTTAATTGTTCCTCACACCTCACTTCACACATAAGAACTCATAGTGGGGAGAGGCCTTATGAATGCAAGGAATGTGGAAAAGCCTTTATTCAGGCCTCAGCTCTAACTACACATATAAGAACTCACACTGGAGAGAGGCCCTATGAATGTAAGGAGTGTGGGAAAGCATTTAGTCAGGCCTCAACTCTCACTACACATGTAAGAACTCACAGTGGAGTTAGACTCTATGAATGTAAGCAGTGTGGGAAAGCCTTTAGTCAGTCATCACACCTCAGTAGACATAGAAGAACTCACAGTGGACAAACCTTGTGAATGTAAGTGATGTGAAAGAATTTTTTGTTGTTCCTCACCTCAATTTAAGAACTCATTGAAGATACTGTTCTACATCAAAAATGGTAAGTTGCATTTTTATTGATACAATATAAAGCAGCAAATTTCCAAATATCTGCAATTAGAAAAAAATAAGTTTCTCAGTGAGTAAGAAACAAATACAACTCATAGGAGGGGTCATTAGAGAGCTACTTTGTGCCTCTGGGAGAAATGACAGTTACGGTAACTGTGGGATTGTCCTCATCAGAGTTTGTTATTATCTTATTGCAAGCTAAAATTTACCTTTCTTAGTCTTTTTCTATTACAAATAAGGCTTCAGGAAATAACTTTGAGCAAATGTGGTTTTATATATTTTTAATGTTTTATTGATGTTAATTTGTATACAATAAAATACACTGATCTTATATTTGTTTTCAAAGTGTTTTATTTACATATTTATTGTATTCTTTTTTTTTAACCTACTATAAAATTAACTATTTTACCCTTTATTATTGGTAAGTTTCTCATAAGACAGTACTTTGAGAGTGTGTAAATACTAGGGTTTTCATCATACTTTAGTCTACTACTCTAGTAGCCATTGATGGTTATTCCCTATTCTTGTTGTTATTATTGTGGTGTTTACCAAATGGTGACCTTAAGAACCTTCAATTTCTCTTAAAATGATTTCTTCTATGTTTGTTAATTAGAATTCTGCCAGAAATAACTTTCCCTTCTGTCATCTTTGTTTATTTATTAATATTTTTATACCAGTATAGGCTAATCCAGGAGCTCTGGTACCATAGTGCCTAAGGCACTTGACTGCTAACCAGAAGGCTGGTGGTTCAAACCCACCAGCCACTCCTCGGAAGGAAGGTTGGGCAATCTACTTCCATAGTGATACTGCCTCACAAACCCAAGGAGGCGTCACTATGAGTTAGGGCCAACTCCACGGCATATAACAACAACATAGGGTATTCCATACTTTTTCTTCGTTTTTTAAATTTATTTTATTATTATTATTTTTTATTTCTGCAAATTCCCTCCTCTCTGCTCCCACCCCTGGTAACCAATAAAGTTTCCTTTCATATATATCAAACTTTCCTTGACTTTTTACAATAATGAACTAATACAATATTTGTCCTTCTGTGATTGACATATTTCACTCAGCATAATGTCCTCCAAGTTCATCCACATTAAGCAGTGTTTTCCAGATTCTACATTATTCTTGAAGGTTCAATATTATCCCATCTTGTGTATGTACCATAGTTTGGCATCCATTCTTCTGTTGATGGGCACCTTGGCTGTTTCCATCTTTTGCTCTTGTAAATAGTGCTGAGAGGAACATGGGCGTGCTGTATCTGTTCTTATCCTGGCTCTCAGTTCTTTAGGATATATACCTAGTAATGGGATTGCTGGAAATGATATTTCTAATTCTAACTTTTATGGAATCGCCATACTGCTTTCCACAGTGATTGTATCATTTTACAGTGCCACCAGCAGTGTATGAGACTCCCGAACTCTCCACATCCATCCTCTCCAGTATTTGTTATTTTCTGTCTTGTTTATCTTTTCTGTTAGTGCTGGGACAAGATGGTATCTCATTGTTGTTTTGATTTGCATCTCTCTAATAGGTAATTAAGAGCTCTGGTAGCATAGTGCCTAAGGCACTTGACTGCTAACCAGAAGGCAGGTGGTTGAAACCCACCAGCCACTCCTCAGAAGGAAGATGGGGTAATCTACTTCTGTAATAATACTGCCTAGGAAACCCAAGAAGGGGTCGCTATGAGTCGGGTCCGACTCGATGGCATATAACAACAAACAACAACAATAGCTAATTACCGCGAACATTTCATATGTTTGTTGGCTGCCTGAATATCCTGTTTGGTGAAGTGTGTTTTCATGTCTTCTGCCCATTTTTTAATCGGATTGTTTGTTTTGTTTTGTTTTTTTTTTTGAGGTGTTGGAGTTTTCAATAAATTTGAGAGATAAGTCCCTTGTCATATGTCATTGCTGAGTACTTGTTCCCAATCTGTACGTTCTCTTTTTACTCTTCTGGAGAAGTGTTTTGAAGCACATAAAAATTTAATTTTTAGAAGGTTTCATTAATCTAGTTTTTCTTCAGATGTTTGTATATTTTGGGTTATGCTTAACACTCTATTTATGCCATAAATTTAAAAAAAAAAAGAAGAAGAAATTCATTGCCGTCGAGTCAGATCTGAATCATAACGATCCTTCCTTTGGTTTCTGAGGTGGTATCACAATGGAAGTAGATTGCCCAGTCTTCTGAGGAGTGGGTGGTGGGTTTGAACTACCATCTTTCTGGTTAGCAGTCAAATGCCTTAGGCCCTATACCACCAGAGCTACTGTGCCATAAATTAGGGTCCCAAAATTTGTTCCTGTTTTTCACTGGAGAACCTTTATAGTTTTAGGTTTCTCATTTAAATCTTTGATCCATCTGGAGTTAGTTTTTGTGTATGGTGCGAGATATTTCATATTTCATATTTCTGCAAATGAATATCCAGTTTTGCCTGTACCATTTGTTAAAGAGACCATCTCTTCCCCATTTAATGGCTTTCAGCCATTTGTCAAAAACCAGCTGACCATAGGTTGTTGGATCTGTTTCTGAGTTCTCAATTGTATTCCATTGGTCTATGTGTCTGTCATTGTACCAGTACCAGGCAGTTTTGACTACTGTGGCTGTATAGTAGATTTTGAGATCTGGGATTGTGAGACATCCTATTTTGTTCTTCAGTAGTGTTTTGTTAATCCACGATCTCTTTCCTTTACACATAAAATTAGTAATTTTATTTCATATCCTTAAAGAATGTTGATTGGTTCTGGATTGGGACTGCATTGAATGTGTAGACTGCTTTGGGTAGTATTGATATTTTCACAATGTTCAATCTTCCTATCCGTGAGCATGGTATGTTCTTCCATTTATGTAGATCTCTTATGGTTTCTTCAAGTAGTGTTTGTAGTTTTCTTTGTATACATATTTTGTGTCCCTGGTTAAACTTATTGCCAAGTATTTCATTTTTTTTGGTGGTGGTGGTGGTTGTTATGTGCCGTGGATTCAGCCCCACCTCATAGTGACCCCTCCTTGGGTTTCTGAGGCAGTATCACGTCGGAAGTATCTTGCCCATCCTTCTTTCTGAGGAGTGGCTGGTAGGTTTGAACCACCAGCCTTCTGGTTAGCAGTCAAGTGCCTTAGGCATTACGCTACCAGAGCTCCTATTTTTTTTTGGTAGCTATTGTAAATGGTATTGATTTCCTTATTTCCTTTTCAGCAATTTCTTTGCTGGTGTAGCAGAATCCAACTGATTTTGGTATGTTGATCTTGTATTCTGCCACTATGCTAAACCTCTCAATTGGTTCCAGTAGATTTTTTACTGAGTCTCTTGTGTTTTCTATGTATTTGATCAGATAGGGATAGTTTGACCTCTTCCTTACCTATTTCAATGTCTTTGATTTCTCTTTCTTGCCTTGTTGCCCTGGCTAGGACTTCCAGTACAGTGTTGAATAGAGGTGATGATAGGGGGCATCCTCCTCTGGTTCCTGTTTGCAAGAAGAATGGTTTTAGTCTCTCTCCATTGAGAATAATGTTGGCTGTTGGTTTTGCGTATCTGCCCTGTCTTATGTTGAGGAATGTACCTTCTATTCCTATTTTGCTGAGAGTTTTGATCTGGAATGGATGTTGATTTTATCATATACCTTTTTTTTTAATTATTTAATTGTGTTTTGGGTGAAAATTTACAGAGCAAATTCACTTTCTATACAGCAGTTCACACACACTTTCTCTCATGACATTAACTACAGTTTACCCCAATGCAATAGCTCCCCTCCCACTTCCTTCCTACCTCTTCCCTGTGTCTATCCCTCCATGTACTCCTGCCCCCTAAGCTGTCTCCCTGTGCATTAACAGCCCTTCTTTCTCCCATGAGTGTTCTCTCCAAGGAGTGTATCTACCTCGGGTACATGTTCAACTCATCTGCCTGTCTTTTGTTTGGCTGGAAGCCACAGGTGTGTGTTCAATTCCAGACCTGAAGGGCAAATCATTTTGAGTTTTGTTCCACATTGTTCTCTCTATCCAGGATCTCCTACATAGATCCCCCTCTGAGCGGTTGACAGTGGTAGCTGGGCACTAACTAGTTCTTCTGGTCTCATAGTCATATAGGCTGTGGATCGCATGGTGTACCCATCACTAGGACTAATTGTTTCCATGAACTTTGGTTTTCTTCTTTGCTCTGGATGAGGAAAGACCCATCATTGCATCTGGATGGCTGCTTGCAAGATTTTAAGATCCCACTTGCTACTTGCCAAAGTAGGAAGTGGTGTACCGAGTTTTGTGTAGTATGTTATGCCAGTTGAGCTTGATGTCCCCTGTGACTATGGTCCTTAGCCCACTGGTTTAACTACTTGGCCCCTCTGGGTAGCTGGCTATGACCAAGAAGTGAGTACAACCTTGTCCCTTGTCAGCTCTACTATAAATCTAGGAATTCTTAGAGATCATACAAATACACTTATAGGACCATTGTCTGCCAGCCCTATACATGGTCTTGGGTACACTCCCTGCTTCATAGACACACCTAATAGTTCAGCCCATCCACCCATCTATTCACTCGTATACCCATATTTGCCTTCACTGACAATGCAGTACTGTATGTGCAAAAGGGTTCATCTTTGTTGTCTGCACCTCCCATGTACCTCTCTATGTCTTCCTCTTCCTCAGTGCCACCATGTTGATCACTCACATTTGGTACATTGCCCTTCTCTTCACTCAAATCAATACTTATCTCTACCTATTTAACAGTGTTCCCTACCTTCCCCTCCACCCCTTTTAACTAACAAAGAAAATTCCCTTCCATATATAAACCTTTGCTTGACTTTTACAATAACGGACTTGCAAAAACGGCAAGGAGGCCACATGTTCTGACCTCCTCTAATCCCACAAGAGGAAGGCAGAATCACCATCAATAGTGCAAGGCCTATTCCTACAAGTCCAG